ATTATTTATTATAATATAAGATAAAGAAATAACTTAATTATAATTATAATATAATAAAAAAAATAATTTAAAAATATCATTTTTTTATAAAAAATAAAAAATAAAAAAATTGACAGGTTTAGGGTTTAGGTACGGGTATACCCGATACCTGACGGGGACGGGGATCATGAAACCCGTACCCGCCCCGCCCCGTTGCCATCCCTACTCAAAACTTTTTAAACATTTTACCATTGATTTCAGAAGCATATATTTTCTAGGAAGTGATCTCATTATTTCAATAAAAATCACAAAAACAAAATAACAAAATACAAAGGCAATAACCATGTGAAGAAAATAAAGAAAATACTCGAGTAAAAAAAATGACCAACACAAATGAGCACCATACAAGATCTCTCACAATCACATCATGAAGAAATATTCTTGATGTACAAACAAATAATCAAGAATAAGATAGAACTCCTCCATTCCTCAAAGGATGAACACAAAGTTGCAAGAAATACAAAGTTACAAGAAATATCAAGAAGCTCAGTAATGGTGGGTTTGTTTGGCTTTGCCTTGCCAAAGAAAAATCTCCAAAAGCTCAACCAACACTCTTCAATTGTGCTGAATGGTGAAAAGTTGAATTGGGTTGTATGTTGTTGTTAAGTAGTTGTATTGAATATACTTTATGCATAATGTTGTTGTGATATTGATGTTGAAAATGTTTAAGGTATGGTGTTGAAAGTTGTGTTGATCAACCTAGGACTAGTGGTAAGGTTGTTTTAAAGTTGTATATCCTATTGTGAGGATATTGTGTTGTAGTTCTCTGAGAGTTCAATTTGTTGAAAATCCTTTTTGAGAAGTTAATCCTTGAGGAAAATAATTGAGTCTTCTCTAAGACCTTAATTGATTTGATATGTGAGTCAGGTTGATGCATACTGACTACAAGAGTATAGGGGATAGGTCGAACTATACTGATTAAAAGTGACCAATCTAAGTAAAATACAAAGTTAAGGACTTAGTCCCTAATTGAGTATTGAAGGGGCATATTATTTCAAGGGTAATTGATTAACTAATCTTATAGGAGACTTAGTGAAGCTAGCTAATGTCATGGTAGACTCATATACAAATTGTATTACCTTAACAAAAATACTAGACTTTCTAGTTTAAGTGACAACATCTGAGAAACCATGTTGTAGGGATTGATATCTCATTTGGTTGTTGATCTAACTAGTGTAAAAAGATTAGGTTGTTGGTTCAGTAAGATCAAGTTACTTAAACTACTCATTTATGTTGTAGAAGATTTTCACAGTTGAAATACATGATGACACATGTAGTTGACTGTTGTGCATATGTGGTTGTGTTATTTTGTTGTGTGATACATATGCTATGTTGATGATGTTGATTGAGTTGGATTGTTGAGTTGAGCATGAGATGTGATGATATAACTTGTTGCTTATAGTTTATGTTGCATATGTTGACTCTTTGAGCTCTAAATTATCCTTGCTTGTTTCCATATGGAAGTAGAGCAAGAATAGGTATGAGGTGCATAGTGGAGGTCATTTGGCGGATGGTAGCGTTTTATTGTTTTGGTGCTACTTTTGTGTAACTTTTGTATAAATGCTTAACCAAAAATTTAAGTTGTATATTTGACATTTATTGGATTACTGTACTTATTCTGTTTTATAATTTTATAATATACATGTTATATAGTACATATTCAAGTATTTGTAGATATATAATTCTAAAAAATTAGTTATTTTTCACGGTTAATTGATAAGCCATGTAGTATAGGAATCATGATAGATCATTACACTTTTAAAGTATCAAAGCTAGTCAAGTCAATTGGACACTATGTAAGAGTGATCACATTAAGTTTGTGTTGTGTGTTTTACCTTGTATTGTGTTGAATAGTTGTTAAGTAGTTGTTATAAAGTGTTACTAAATGATTTATTGATCTTTATAAAAGATGGATTGATTCATAAATACTTTTATAAAAGAAAAATATGAAGAAAAAAATAATTTTATAGGAAGGCTAAAATTAGCATATGAATAAACTAATGTAGAAGTGTTCTCCTATTTATTTATTTTTAAAAATAACTATATATAAACTTATTTAAATTTATAAAGAAAAATATTTTATTTTTCCTCCTACGTATATTTTGAATATTTTCCCCAAAAATACTTTTATCATGTTACATTCCACATTAACCCTTCCACCATAAATCACTTTAAACACGACATTAATAATTAGAAAAACCTTATGCCCAGGTCATAAGAAGTACGAGGGTTTTCTTCTTCTTCTTTTTCTTCTTTTTGGTCAACTTTAATAATGATTGCCTTCTTGAAATATTAACAGATTTAAAATTACATAAGCAAAAAAAATTGCTTACATATTCTTTACTCTTTCAAATTTAAGATAAATTAATTTTAATTTCTTAAATTTAAAATCATTATTTTTAATTTTGTAATTTTCAAAAACTTTATTTTAATCTCTCAAATTATTAATAATATATCTAAAAGTAACTTAAAACAATTATATACTAAGTTTAATATATGATTTTACTAGATACTAGTAAATAAATAATATGTAGCAAATTTGTTAACAAAATTTAAATATAAGTATTAATTTAAATATTTTTTTGAAATTACAAATACTAATAAAATTAATTTTAATATTAAAAAATAAAAAATAAAATTCATCTAAAATTTGAAAAACTAAAAATATATTTAAACTTTAAAAAAATTAAAAAAAAAATCTTTAAAACTAGCAAGTGAAGCACTTTACGTAATAGCCTGTTAACCAAGTGGTTATTAATTAAATGGATTTACAGAAACAAACGTACTACTTATATATTTTCTACTCTTGGCAAAAACAAACTAAACAAAGCATACCGATAAAATGAATGTTTAATTACTCTTTTTTTTCTCTTTACAGTCTCGTAAACATTATCTTTTGAGTACACTTACGTTAAAAATGTTCTATAACTAAAATGAAATATTATTAATTATAGAGGCAAAAGAATAATTAAACCATAAATAAAACAACTGAACAAAGCATGATATAACAACAATGCTAGATTGGGTCCCATCCCATTATCGTTAAGTTGATCTAAACGACACTAGTTCCTTCTGCCACTAAGATTAAAAGAAAGTAGCAAGATATACAAAATTCAACTTGATGACAAGTTTGGAGAATAAGAAAAGAACTATAGTACAAAATATATATGTCATAGTTTAGTTACCTTCAGCAATCTATTAGTAAATTTTTTTTAAAAAGAAAAAAAAAAACTCACCCTCCATTAACAAAACTATACATTGCATGGGGTTATGGACTCTTTTGAGATATAACTCCTCAGGGGAACCTTTCTTCCTTAGCCGGTGTCAGAGTTCAAAGCTAAACAACGTCAGTGAAGGGGACATGCATGGTGAATGGTGATGATGATGAGGAGGTTTGAAGCAATTTACAAGGTAGAGTGTATGGTGAAGAAGTTGAAGTCATGGTGATGGACATTGAGCTGCTTCAGCCATGAGTCTGCTGCATTGTACAGATAGGATCTCCTTTCACATTCATAAGGATCAGGGCTTAACCAAACTTCTCCTTGCATTTTGTAAGTGGCTAGCCCAAATGGAAGGAGAGATACATGCTCACTCTTCTGCTTCTTGCATTTCTCTTCTTGGATCGAATAGTAGAGATCATTCCCAATGTCAATGTCATCACATTCCATAGTGCAATCTGCAGACACATTAGAGATGGTATTGAGTTTTCAGAAGGAATGTGATCAAGGTCAGCTTTACAACAAATTATGTGAACCAAATCACATAGAATTTGGTTTTGCATGATTGAGTAAGGTCCAAACTTATAGACTAAAGTGGTATCAAAGTCTATCTATCCTAGATCCATTAAAATGATTATCTATTACTACTTATTCATACACCAAGTCCAATAGTACTGTGTCTGAAGCGGTTGGGAAAAAACCCACATTATGAGAGAAGCTTATACCAATGTTTTCTACCAATAAAAACAACAAAAGTCTTATCCCACTAGATGAAGTTGACTACATGGATTACATGATGTTATTAAGCTCAATTGAAAACCAAATTTAAAAATGTATACCAGTGTTTTCTACTGATATGATAAATGAAATTGTATAACAAATAACTCTTGACTTAGATTTTAGAAAGAAATAATGTGGGTAAGGGATATCAATTATCAGATGAATGTCTCAACTCTTATGCATGCTTATCTAATGTCCTAAAACTCACTTGCACATAAATAAACATCATAATATTAGATTGAAAATCAAATATTGCCACACTATATCTTGCATTCAAGTGTTGGATTAATGTATTGAATGTCAATTATAACTTTCATTACTTCAGGGGTGAATAAGGAGAAAAACTAGCAAACATCAAATGATGTGATTTGTGATGGTACAAATCTACCACCTTCTCCTAAGCTATAACAACTGGCAAGAACAACAACTAATTCTGTTTTTTTTTCACTTTCCAGAAAAGAAAATAGAGTGGGAAAAAAATACATTAAGATACCTTGGAAAGATGATGACAGTGTATGGTAAGTGAGAAAGCATGCTTCCAAGTCCTTTTCATTTTTCCGGCTTGGGACGGTATAAATTGGGTACCTATTCAATGATGAAAAGGTCAGTATAACATCTCTCTAAAATGGAAACTGACAGGGACTGACATCTTACAGAAAGTCATATAAATAAGATACAAAAACTATGAATTTGAAAGTCACAAGTGTATTCCTATAAACAATTTATAACATTGTAGCTATAGACTTCATCTTGTATATGAATTCATAAACAAAGACTAGCATTGTCTTGAATTATAAGACAAATGTGTTATCCCATTAAGTGAGGTCAGCTACATGAATCACACAACGACAACATCATTCAGCTCAATTAAAGACCACATCTTCAAAGATGTACAAGAAAGTTCACAAATTTTATCCAAGAATAGAAATGTAATCTTAGAAAGTGGATTTGGGATTTAGACCTACCTCAACCTTACAAAACCATTTTATTTAGACCTACCCCACTTATATACTCTATTAATATCATATCTTTAGTTGAGGTAGGACTTGAAGTTTTTCTCATTATATAATTAGAGCAGAAAACTATGCTCACCAAGAAACGGCCATCCAACTGGCTGGGGAAAGATCCACGCTCTTCAATGTCATTAACGCCGGATGGCTTCTAGCTAACTCATCAATCTGAAACAAGAAACAAGCAAAGGCAATGTATTGTGAGTGTAGCATACAAATACATCCATATATATTATTACAATGGAAATGAGGTGGCGAAAAGTGAATACTACTTGACAAGTGACAACAAAAAAAAATACCTTTTCCACAAGTGGAACCCTTGAGTAAGGTGAAGCCATCTCAGTGTACTGTAAGTAAAGGTAGCCATGCTTGTCCCTTTGCCATGAACCCTCCTGGTCAGAGCTTGAATCCTCAGAAGCAGCATCCCAACCTTTGCTGGAATTGTTACTTAATGATCTGGATAGTTTATCACTTCCACTATCCTCACTCCATGAATCACTTTCAAATTCAACTCCATCACTATCCTCTCTCCGAATCCTGCAAAATAGATAATAGCAACATCACTTAGACCATTTTGTTGACACATTTAAAGTCTATTTAGATACAAATATAAAAGAGTTTTCAAGAACTTTTCTACTAAAAATAGAAAGTTTTTTTTCCACTAAAGAAGCTCTTTTAAGTTTGTATCAAAACAAACTCTTAGTATATAAGCATAAGGATAAAACTTAGATACAATTTCTTAGGTGTTATTAGTACCGTTCTCCAATCAAAACTGGAGATTTACCTTGATAGTATGCATTTACATTTCATACAGATTTTATTAAGACAGATTTATGCATATATCGAGGTAATTCTCTAATTCTGATTGGAGAATGATACTAATCACACCTAAGAAAGTGTTTCTAAGCATAACTGCACAAGGCATTGTTTCCTATATACCTAGAAGCTGCAACAGACTTGTTGCTGTAGATTTGGATAGCAGAAAGATATGGAACATAGTACTGAGTCACAGTATCGCCATCCTCCAACGTCACAGGAGTGCCGGCACCATATGCACTCCATTCATGATAGCAGTCCCAAAGATCTTGCAGAGTGAAGTATTCAATTGTGTCCTTGCCTACCGGCTGCCAGAGGGGATTTACATCATTAAAGCAACTCTGCAAATTACATGATAAAAGCAAAGAAGATTAAGGAAACAAATCAGCCAGTCAATGGTCCTTCTCCCTTCTAATACAATGAATAGCACAGTTTCTTAATTGAATTAAAAGCAGGCAAAAAAAAGCACATTGAATAAGACAGCACCATCACAACTTCACCTCCTGTCTACCTCTGACTAGAAACAAAAGTAGCTCATTACAAGATAATGCAATGCTACACATGCAAGAAATGAGACATCTATAGAATACTACATTTGTGTCAAGTAGTTCACAAGATTACCAGCTAGTATAAGATAGTCTTTTTTTTTTTTTTTTTTTTTTTGGG